AAACAAAAGAATGGTTGCTGTCAGCCCTGCCTCCCCTCCAGCATTCTCCACTCAAGATGGTGCCCTGGCAGAAGACAGAGATGGTAAAGCCCTGCCATTTACTTAGAAGCAAAACTTCTGGCTGATAATGGACCCATCTATGGATACTGATATTGATAAAATGATCTGAGCCCAATTTGAAATCGTCCCTGAGAAGAAAGCATTCGTGTATGAGAAGCCAAACAAAGGACTCGTCAGGAGTAGCGTGTAGTGCCCTGACAAACTGTAAATAAAATATTTCTTGCCCACAAAGAATTTCAACTGAGTAATGAGGCCCTTTGAGGACAAGTTGGTGCCTCCTGGCAAATGAGAACTGGCTCCCTGAAGGCCACAGTGCTTGTACAGAGGGTAAGGTGACCTTGATCTTGCCCTCCCTAGGACTTGCCCACTGGAGCATGATCTCATGTTATCACTGCATAAAAACCCCATGGGATGGCCTCACATTAGTCTGAGGGACCAGAAAGTAATCCCTAAATCAGCTGATGTAAAGAATATATAAGCTTGGTTTACTTGCTTGGGATTAGAACAGAAAATACTGCCCCCGTTATAAATGGACACTTTCAGGATAAATCCATTCTGTCTCTTGGAAAGATGGGTGCGGAAGGAAGTTGCGAATGGGAACAGCCTAGGGAGTTGGTCCCTGTGTGCTAACTTCTTGGAGTGATTCTGACATCACACCCCTCACAGAACATGGCCCTTCCCTCAAGAAGCACCTGGGTAGGGTGGGAGGGAGAGGGTGTCACCACCACAGGGACTCTTTAAAGTTACTCAACCACATCTTTCTGATGCAACTGACTTACTTTCTGCCTCCATGTTTGTTAAAAGTCCCGCCGAATTTATTCCGATTCAGGATGAGAGCAGCAATTTCGGGCACGTAGCGGGCAAACATTGCCTACATGCATGAAACAAAGAAACAAGAGCCAAAAAAAAAATGGCATGCAGAGAGGATTCTACCGCAGCGGAGGCGGCAAAACCTCTTGGCATACTTACTTTCTTCCACTAACCGCACTATAGGAGCCCCCGTATTTCTTGCGGTTTCCTATTAACTCTATGATTTCAGGGACGTAGCTGGCAAACATGGCCTGAGGAGAAGATAGGAGACAGAAGAGAGACTAAAAAGACAGGCCAAAGAAAGGGGAGGACCTTTTCAGAGGGGGGATGCTAAGATCTGAACACACAAAAGGATCAGAACTGCAAAGGTACATATTGATATGTTGGATTCTAAACAACAAAAGCACACAAAGGGCAAGCTCCTGAAAATAAACAGGACAAAACAAACATTAACCAACCTAAACAACTGAAAAAAAATGACAGTCGAGAAAAACACAAAGGAGACGGAAATAAACAAGTTGGCATCTAGCTCTTCTTCCTAAAGAGGAATAAAGAAAAGGGTTGCATGCTGGTAAGATTACACACACACACCACACACAGACATACACACATTATAGCAAAAGAAGACCTTTCTTTCTTGGTAAAATTCAAAGGAGAGCCCATGCCTTTATGAGTGATTAAAGATAATAATCACCAAAAGAAGATTAAAGTAATATAAAATTTTCCATTAAAAAAAAATCACTAAAAAGCACAAAAGGTAAATTCAGGAAATCACGTGGGAGGATAAGACAGCAAGGAGAAACACAAATCTGCCATGTTTTGTCCAACAAACATTGTGCTTGTGGCTGGATAAATGTGTCTCATTGTCTACAGGGACCTCAGGTAGCATGGAATGCTTGCGTTAACGTACACACACACATGTACATTTATATACATGTTTAATGTATATGTCATATGCATACAAGACAGACAGATGTGTATGCATAATACAAATGTGTGTGCGGTGTACATATGGGAAAGCTGTGTGTGAATTAGGATTTTAATCACTTACCTCATACACAGCAAAAACCTCAACTTAAAATGAGCTACTTTGAAAGACAAAATGCAGCAACCACCATTGTGTTGCCAGAAATCTCCCTTGAAAATTACATCATCACCAACTGGTATGATCTACAGTGACCAGAAAGGCAAGTAGGGCAACTGTCTGACTCACAAACAGGGAGGAAAAATATCCCACGTGTCACAGCACAATGGGCTTAGCTGCTAGGAAAACCACAGTGGGCTCACGTGGCAATGGCCACCGGTAGGAGGCCATTCAGGTCGGGCCCCAGCCACAGTGTTTGTTGGAAGTTCGGAGAGGGCTGTGAAGGGGGTGGGAGAGCTCCGGAAACCGCAAACCGTCTACCTCGACCGTCAACAGCATCTGCCAGGTCAGATGAGAGCAACTGTCCTTGCAGCATATCAGCGGCTGAATCACATTACTAAGGGGGACAGACACGCTCACTTAATAAATAAGTGAGCATCACTTTCTTAGACAATTGTTTGCTCCTGGCTACATGGCTTCCCTGATAAGGACAATGTGCCTTCGTTTCTGGGGAACCAGCATAATACACGAAAGAAATATGCAGAAAAGTTACCATCGTGTTTGGGTTACGTAGCCTGATCGTGACACTAAGGCCATCACTTGCTTCTAAAGCAGAAACACAGTATCAAAATGGAAAGCTTTAAGAAAATGGATAATCGAAAATATTAATGACCATAAAAATCAACATCATAATAAAGAGTTTTTACCAGCCCCCCGAGGATGAAGAACACCATGAAGAGGCGCCCAAGCGTGGTCTTTGCATAAACATCCCCATAGCCGACAGTGGACATGGTGACCATGAGCAGATAGACACATTCCCAGTATGTAAGAGCTTGGTTGTTCTGGAAATTTTCCCATGGGTCCCCTGAATTCTCCACCTGAAACAAGGGGGCAGGGGAGAAAAAAGGAAAGTCAGCCAGGAACACAAAGGCTCCAGCAGGCTGCTTGGGTTTGCGCCTCCTCGTCCAAGATGAGAGCTGCCCTGGGCTGATGCTGTAAGTGAAGGCTCAGAACCTCTTAGC